ACACTGAGAGCAAGTAGGGTTGCAATGGGAGTAAAGGGTTTAGGACAAGAATTTTAAGTGGAGGCAATAACAGGAAGAAATATGAGAAGCCAAGAAATCTGGAGAAGAGTGATTTGTAATAAAACTGGAGGATAAACTCAGAAGGACTTGGCAGGCAAAACTGTTTTTTAAGGTAATGACAAACCTACTGAAATTTACCCATGTATGAGAATGACCACCTTATGACTTGTATTCAAGGAAGAATATCCTTGGATTTGAGATAATATGATAAATATCACCTTTGTAAGTCTATTCTTTTATTTTTATATTTTAATGTAATAAATAGATATTAAGAAAAATATAAAAAGCACTCTTCTATGAAAAAAGGCAAATATTCATAGTAAATTAACTAGAGAATAAGAAGAGTTAACATATCGTGTACCATAATCTTCTCATAATCATCCCAATAGATGCAAAAAATGCTTTGACAACATCACTTCATAATAAAAACTGAAGAAAATAGATATGGAAAGACTTTGTTTCCAATTTATAAAAGCCATTTATGGCCAACCTTCTGCCAACACCATGTTAAAGGGGGGAAAACTGAAAGCTTCCCTCCTAAAGTCAGAAATAAGACAAAAAGTTTTGCTACCAACCCCCCATTCAGTGTAGTCTTCTCCTTCTTCTCTCCTCTCCTCCCTTTCCCTTCTTCTCCCTCTGCCCTCCTGTCCTGTCCTCCTTCTCCCCCCACAATAAGTATATTTACTCCATCATAGGGTTCAACCTTTCAAATCCCACCTCCAAGGAGCATCATCATATTGCAAGCTTCAGCACAAGAACCCTGACAGACACAGACATTTGGTCTCTAACACATGATAAATCATCAGTGAATGTTAGTAATGATTTTTACTTTAAAATTCAACAATTTAAAATATGTTAATATCATATCGTGTGATATGCTCCACTGCTTCTCTTGGGTATTGGACTAAATCCTTCTTTCTGGATCAGTACAATATAAAAGAGAAGGTAAAAAAAGGAAAACCCCCAGGAAACAGGTAGAGGAGTTAACATGAACCTAGTCCAAATCTCCTTGGATCTGGTGAGGAAAAGGTAGTCCAATAAGGGGGCTGTGCAGTGGCTCACTGGCCCCTTCATTTGGCAAGTTTCAGTTGGCTGCAGGACCCAGAAACACACTGGACTGGATTTCTAGGGCAATTATAATACCTTGCCACAAATGAAGAGGCTTAAATCTCACACACATATTTCCTTACTCTTCTGTTTTTCGCAGGTCTTACTGGGCTAGAATTCTGCAAATTGTCAGCAGGGCTGAGGTTCTGGAGGAGAATCCATTTCCTTGGTTTTAGAAAGACCACTTTTAAAAGAAAGGGGTCTATTTAACTTAGCTCCAAGGTGCCTTTCTCTATCTTCATAGCCAGCAATTTTGCAACTGTCAGTCTTTTTTCTTTAGTCACACCTTCCTTGGCTCTCCTCTACTCACCTCTTTCACCTTTAACCAGGCTTGAGATTACATTGGTCCCACACAGATGAATTAGCATTCTCTTTTTAATTTCAGCCATCAGCAACTTTCATTAAATCTATAATGTTAATTCCCCCTTTGTGATGTAACTCAATTTATTCAGTTTTCCTGCTGTAGGATGCACACATCTTTGGGGGTAGGGGCTTTGTTTTGTCCATTCACATTCAAGCTTGAGTCAACCTGAGATCAGTTGACTCCAAATAGAGGGCACAGTTACAGTAGGTTCATATGAGGTATCCTTGTCCCCAGAGTCTCTGTGAGCCAGGTGCACAAGCTCAATCCCATCATTTCATTACTGTCACAACAGTGCCCTGATTTCTAAGACCTAATTCGCTTTTGGACTCAGTGCATTATATTGAGATTTTATTTCTATTTTCTTAACATGAATACTTGGGCCAGTGTTGGAGGCAAGAAGTTGGATAGTCAATTATAATGGCCAGGAAAGGAAGGAAACAAGTCTGGATAGGAACAGTATGTGGAAATCCCCCTGGCAGGAGTGGGTGGGAAAGGCAGTGCCTACACTTTGAGATCTGGTTCTGTATAGGAGGGAAAGGAAAGAGAATAAAAGACATAGAGTAATGTGCAGGTTTCTGCAATAGAATAATCTGTACAAAGTTGATCAGTTTCACAGCTAAAATTTACAGAATATAGGAAATGATTGAATGTACAAAACAAAACTGAATCAAATACTGTATGAGAAGACTCTAAAGGACTGAGGAAATAGTTTGGAAGTGATGGTGTCAGGAAGTTAGGTAGAGTGGTTAGGAGCCAGGGCTGCAATGATGGCAGAGTTTGGATCAGTTATAGATACACACGGCAGGCAGATGAATTTTACTAGTCATCCCAATTGAAATTGATGTTAGTGATTGCTTGTTCCTGTCTTGTATATGTTCTTAGTTTAGCAAAGCATCATATTTAAAGTATTTGTTTCATAAGAGAAGCAACATTAGTGTCTGAGAGTATCATCTCTGATTCTAGCTTTCTTTTCCTCAGCTTCCTGATCTGTAAAATGGGGATAACAGTACTGAGCTTGTTATGATACTGTAAGAATAAAACCAATTTATAAAAAGGTTTTAAACTTGCTGGCATTGTAAATAAAATATTAGCTAATAATTTATTGACAGAGCATAAACTCTAGTGCCAGTGCTCCATAGTGGAAAATTTATATCATGAGTATAATAAAAATAATGATGATAAACTTTTACAAAGAGATTATTCCTTCCAGGATATCCCTTCTGTAGCCTCACTGACACAGTTTTAATTCCCAAAACTACCTTATGAGGTTGGTACTCCAGTTTGGTGATGTTACACAAACACTTATTATATGTCAAGTAGTAGTCTAAAACTAGAATATTCCAATGGGGAATAAAAACAAAATCCTTAATTTTCTGAAAATTATATTCTGCTTTCATGAAAATGAATGAATAAGAAGGATATCATCTGATTAAGAAGCCTGGCTGAGAAGACTAAGTTCAGAACTGCTGAGGTTTTCAGCGCCTAATTCAGCTGGGCTTCCACGGACACCTATAACGCAGAAGTGGAGCCAGCGCGCCCCCGCTGCATCAGTCACTCAAATAGCAGCGGCGTCTCAAATCATCGCCCTATGTGTATTTCCAACACCAACCCACGCCTGGACCTTTGCATTTGCAGATCCTGGTCTGGATCAGCATTCACAGGGATTTTCAGGGTCAGATCTCCCCCAGGGAAACCCGAGGCAAAAGAGTGAGCTTTCAGCTTGCTTGCTTTGTTTTTGTTTTCTTTATTGGTACATTTTAGGTATACACTACAGTTACATTCATCACTGGGATCTTGTAACTTTACATGATGTATCTTGGCTCTTATTTTTTCCCCATTCCCCTGGCCTCCCTTCACCCCCTCCACCCTTACCTATGTACACAGACTTTGTTTCCATATTTTTCCTTTTCTCTTATTTTTTCTTTTCCCTTTCTTACCTTTCCCCTACCCCTCCCATTTCCTTTACATCTTTAGACCTTTTCTCTTATCTTGAGACTTTGCCTATGCAAAGCATTTCATTTTTTAAATTTTTCATTTTGTCTCAGACTATGTAGTCTTTTCTAAAGACTAGTAGCCTACTTCAGAATCTATGGGTGAGTAAGGTAAAATTTAAAATAATTTTCATAGGAAAATGGATACATATTGAGGCTATACTCTTAAATGGAATAAATAAGTCACATGTGTAAATACTAAATAGTTTCTCTGATGTGAAGAAGTGTAATAGTACACAAGATCCTAATGGGATAATTAAGAGTATGAAATAGGAAGAAAGGGGCTAAAGGTGTAGGGAAAGTGAGAAGGGTAGGGGAAAGGAAATAAGGGAAAAGAAAAAATATGAGAAAATGAAAAAATGGAAATAGTTTGTAATTGGGGAGGGGAGGAGAGGGTGAAGGGAGGGCAGGGACAAGGGGAAAAAATGAGAACCAAGAACTGTCATGTGAAGGTACAGGATCCCAGTAATGAATGTAACTGTATTGTAGACCTAGATTGTACCAATAAACTTAATAAAAAGAAAAAAATCCAAAAAAATTAACATAATTTGGATGGCAAAAGTAATATCAAGGAAAAGTGAATAAAAAAGAATGAGATAAAGTCAAGAATAATGTTTCAGGCCATGGTTAATCAAGAACAGAATATTTTATTCCTTTTCTAACATAAATGTAAATATATGATTTAGGTAAGGCTGTTAATGGACAGCACTACATGAAACATTTTAATTTTACAGGGCAGTGTGAATGCAGATTCCATTACACATTTAAAAAATCAGCCAAAAAAATAAATTGAAACTGATAGGGTAAGTTAGCAAGCTGCAGAATTCAGAAAGTTGTGTACATCACATAATCAATTTGTATTATTTCAAAAAGGTTTTAAACATTGCCTAAAAATGGAGACACTATTTTAAGAACAATTTCAATTAAAATTACTCAATTATCTTTTATATGGTTATGTTTCATAGTTATAGAAAATTCTTACTGTATGTGGCACATTTTTGAAAAACCATATGCATTTTCAAATGCTACATGAAATAACAAAAACAAAAACAAACAGCAGTAACAAAAACCTCAAATACTGCATGTGTAGGATTCCTTGAGGAGGAGGAAACAAATCTCCCAGATGCCTTTTGCATCATTGACATAGAAAATTGCACTCTCCATTGGGGTAAATATTTAAAGTCTGAAAAATGCTTGCTGATGAATCAGCTTCCAGTGAATTATCATTTGAAAGTTAATGTATTTCTTCAGATCTTATTTGTTGAAAATAGGAATAACTGACAAACTATATTTTCTTTATTTCCTGAGATTCTTATGGTATAGTTGAGCTCTGATTAATCCCTCTTTGAATTTCCTTCTTTCTTCTAACATAGTCACTGGTTCTTTTGTTGTTTTTCCCTTTTGTACAGTTTTTCATATGGTGATAGAAATTAGTTAGTAAGAATTCTCATGAATTATCACAGCAAGAGAAACCTTACCTCTCTCCAATGCATGCACCAGTATTACAGTGAGCAGGAAAACCAAGACTGTCTTCATTTCTCCACTAGGGAGTCCTGAAGCCACTCCAGTCACTGCAGGTCACAAAGTAAAAGATGACAACCAAAAGTTACCAGCTCCTTTTCCTAAAACCCCTGACTGTGAAAAAAATCAATTATTAATCTCTGCACAGATACAAGGGGTAGTCATCTTTGGCCCAAAAGAGGTAAAATATCAATCAGAGCAAACAGACACATCAGGGATAGCACAGTGGAAAGTCTAGAAGACATCAATCATTAACTTCATTAAACTACAAAAGAGCTAAGATAATAGATAATTTTCTGCAGCTTTTTTTCACAAAATTGATGAAATATATTAGTTAAGGACATGCTTATCCCTTATTCTTCATGTACTAATGGAAAATTGGAGATGTGCTCACACACTCTCTGTGTTTAAGTCTACTAAAAATAGCATTACCTTAACATAACAAACAGATGTTTTAAGTAAAAAGGAGAGAATAGAATAATGTCAAATCAGTTCAGCAGAATCTATGTTTTAAATCCATGTTTTCAACGCCACAAACAATTTTGAGGTGGTGGTGTAGTTCTTTAATTTATATGCTGTATTATACCTTTTGAAGGACTAATGTTCATATGAGAAGGACCTGTGAAGTGAGGCGTACGATAACTGCAGAGGTTAAATGAATTTTCCCCAATCGTACAATGTTCGTGGGAAATCCCAGACTCTCCACACATGGGTTAAAGCTCCTTCTAATACTACGCAGCTGGGACACTTTATGATAACTAAACTGGAGAGCTCATGGTGGCCTTGTGGAACTTGGAATCTGGTATCCTCATCTGACTACAGGGAAAACTGACCCCAAGTAGGTTCTATGAGTTGTTCAGGGAGGCACAGGTGATGATCATTCATTGGGAGTTGATCAGCTCCTGATTTTTGCAGTAGCCTTCCTTTTAAGAAATGATCAAGTACAAATTGGGTACACAGGATCTGGAATGAAATTTTTATCCAGCTATTGTTGCTGTGTGACCTTGGAAGGTTCATTATACCTCCCTAAGCCTCCTCTTCCTAATATGCAGTGTGGTGATAAATTTAATTTTTGTTACATGATTGCTGGAAGGTGAATTCATGTGCAAAACTTACCATTAACACCTTCCATAAGGTATCATGTACTATGTTACCTACTGATTTTATTGTAGTTGTTGGCAGCTTCCCCTCTGGCTCTCTACATTTATAATATCTGGGAGGTCTTTGGAGTCACTGAAGCCTGGAGCTCAGTTGAAGATTTTAAATCCAGGCTTGTGTCCTGGATCTCATACTTGAGTAACTTAGGGTTCCATCATCAGTTCAGCAGCCAAGGATCAGCTGCAGTACATGGGCAGAGTCCACCAAAATCTAGTAATCCACACTAAGTAGTTACGTGTTTAGCTGGATCCTAAACTATACATAAAGTACATGGGTGTTCAGAAGGCAGAGTCTAGCTAGGTGAAAAAGTTAATAACGAAGATCAAAGCAGAGATATTTCTGTAAATCAATGGAATTACACATCAAAAAGATTAGCAGATTCTGTGAACACGGGTGGAAATAATAGAAGATAACTTTTCTGTTCAAATATACCAGCTACATACTGTCTAAAAAACAGCTTGTTGTCTGCTACAAATCTTTAAATTTTTCCACTGGCTAATGTTTTAATTTACTTTGCAAGTTATTTAAAAATATATATTTATCTTATTGAAAATCATATATGAATAAAATGTAAATTGATTCCAAAAAGTTAAAAAATATTAAGTACCCAGAAATTAGTATACCTGTTAAAATATTAGTACATTTTTAGTTTTAATTTAAAGATAATATTACACATACTTTCATATATTTAAAAAATACTTCTGTTGTCTTTGGGAGATTAGTTCATCCAAAAGTATAGGTTAATTCTCATGAGTTTTTGCTACAGAGTTTAAGATCAGCCATTCTTTCATTTTAAAAAATTATGATTATTATCTCTGGTTTTGCAAGAGCACCATTTGTTTAATGATAAACTACATGTGTAAGGATTGCAACGTCTCATTTAGGTTCCCTCTTGAGAAATATCCACACAAGCTGCCAAATACATTTTCTTGGCTGTGTTTATCTTAATCCAACTGAACTAACGTGCTTTTATGCAGTCTTATTTATGTGATTTTTCCTTAATCTGTTAGACTCTCATTCTATACGGTGATCCTAAGCTGCTCAGAAGTAACTATAATTGGCTTTCATGAGAAGCCTTATGTTAACTCTAGTAAGTCAGAAGGCAAAAATATTGGTGAAAAGGCAAAATAAAACCTTATGAGATTGTTGAAGCATCAGTTAAACAAATTCTGAAATTTATTTTTTTTTCATTAATTTTCTTGGTACATTTTAGGTACACAATATAAACATTTGTCATTGGGAATTTGCACCTTTATGTAATCTATCTTATTCTTATTTTTTCACCATTCCCTCCAGCAGAAGAAGGAGATTAAATTAGCTATGTAAATTAGCTATTAGTCCATGTAAATATCCAATTTTCCCAGCACCACTTGTTACAGAGGTTGTCCTTTCTCCAGCCTCATGCTTATAATACCTTTGTCATGTACCCATTGGCTGTAGCTGTGTGTGTTAACTTCTGTGTATTCTATTCTGCTCTGTTTATAATGTATGTCTCTGTGTGCTTACACCAGCACTAGCCTGTTTATTTTATATGATGGCTCTGTAGTATATTTTGAAATCAAATAATGTAATGTCTCCACTTTTGCATGTTTTGCTCCAGATTTATTTTACTATTCCAAGTCTTTCACTTTTCTATATGAATTTAATTTTTTCTTCTAGTTCTGTGAGAAATGCCACTGATATTTGTCTCAGTTACTTTTCTCATTGCTGATACAACATATCTTATATCAAATGTTAAAGTAAGAAAGATTTATTTTGGGTTACAGTTTGTAGAGGTTTCATTTCATAGTTGGCTGACTCCAAGGCAGGGTGGCATGGTGGAGTGGCATTTCAGAGGAGAAACAGTTCATGGCAAGGAGAACACAGCAAGGCAGTGAAGTAGTGAAGAAGCAATGATCACAGCATCCCTCTTTCTCTCCCCTATATTCTATCCAGGCTATACACCCAGGGTGAGTAGCACTCACACCCAAGATAGACCTTCCCATTATCCACTCCCAGAACTATGCCAAATCAATCTGTGGACGAATTTAGTAGTCATGTACCCTTGATCCCAGTACCGCACACTCAATCCCAACAACACACACTCTAGATTCAGCTGCCTCTGAAAAGCTCCACCTGTGACTTCATAAAGCTTTGAAGGGATGTCTAGATACAAGTCATAGCAGTATGTTTATGGGACTTTCCTTGAGGTCCTTTTGTCAATAGATCCTTCCTTTTGCTATAATATCATTTTTTTCTTGAACTCTGTTTGCCTATAAAAATGATAGCTATAGTAATATAGCAATCACAGCATCATATACTTACTGTTTAGGTGGTTCAGATTTTTCTTGAATGATGAGTTTATGTTCTGATAAACCAACTAAAGTTGAAAATATCATGAGCTGAAAATGTAATTAATTCAGGTAACCTGTGGAGCCTTTAAGACTGGCAAAAGAGCACACTGTTGAGTATCAGTTGTTTACCTGCATGATGGTGTGGCTGATTGAGATCTCTGGGTCACTGTTGCCATCTAGCTTCAGTGGACAGCAAGAAAGTAAACATATCATTCATTAGCCTGGGAAATTCAAACTTTACAATTGGGTATCTATGAATGTGTATTTTTTTGCATCATAGAAAAACTGAAAATATTTTAAGTCAACCTTTGAAAATCTGGGGCTATTCGCACATATTTTAACATGTTTTGCTTTCAACCTATTTGTGTCCTTGTGATTAAAGTGAAAGACTTGGAAAAGGTACACAGTATAGTTTTGATTTTCTATTTTTTTTCAGGGTTTTTTTACTCATTAAGTTCATTGATACATTTTAGTTATACATTATGATGACAGTCATCATCGGGAATTTGTACCTTTACCTGATATATCTTGGTTCTTCTTTTTTCTCCATTGCCCTCCCCTCCCTTCAATCTCCCCACCCCTTCCTATTTAAAAAAGATTTTGTTTCCATTCTTTCATTTTCTCATATTTATCCCTTTCCTTTCCCTCATGCCTCTCACTTCCCCTTACCCTTTGGACCTTTTATTCCTATTTCACATTATCTATTCAGCATTTTTATCCTTATTTACACTTTCAGTTTCTCGCACCAGAGAAACTATTTGGCATTTGTGCATATGTGTCCTATTTATTTCACTTAAGTGTATGGCCTATGTTCATCCATTTAGCTATAAATGCCTCTAGTTTCTCATTCTTTATGGCTGAGTAGTACTCCATTATATATTTTTTTAAAAAAAGAAGCCACATCTTCTTTATCCAGTTTCCAGTTGAGGGGCAACTGGGCTATTTCCAAATTTCAGCTATTACAAATTGTGCTGATATAAACATGGGCACACATATATTGCTGTGGTATGATTCTTTTAATTCTTTTGGGAAGATACCTATCAGGGGAATAGCTGAATCAAATGGGACCTCTAATCATAGCTGTTTTTTGTTTTGTTTTGTTTTGTTTTTCGATTTCTCAACAACAGATCAAAGATCTAAATATTAAAACAGAACCACTAAACTGGCTGGAAGAGAGGTTAGGTTAGGTAAAACTTTTAAAGATATTGGCATAGGGAAACATTTTATGAATCAAACCTCAGTCACACAGTGAACTAGCACAAATAGTCAACAAGTGGGATCTCTTCTTATTAAAAAGTTTCTGCACAGCAAGAGAAACCATCAACAGTAAGTATGAAAAGACAACTCACAGTGTGCAAAAAATATTTTTACCAGATGTTCCTCAGACAAAGGTCTACTACCTAGAATATATAAAGAACTTTAGAAAATTAGACCTCCCAAACTTAAAGCCCCAATCCAAAAGTGGGTATCTGAAATGAACAGACAATTCTCAAAGAAGTAGAAATAGCAAATAAATATATAAAAAATGTTCAACATCACTGGGCATTTGAGAAATGCAAATGAAAACAACACTGAGATTTCACCTCACTTCAGAAATAATGGTTGCTATGAAGAACAACCCAATAACAAATACTGGTTGGGTTTTGGGAACAAAGGAGCCC